CGCCTTAAACGCGGTGGCCCGCCCGCAGTCCGGACACCTGCACACCCGCACGGCATCCCTGCTCCTTCCCAGCGCCAGCAGGCTGAACTGCAACGATCCGACAAGCTGCACGAGCTGTGTCGGGAGCTCCTCACTCTCGTGCTTCTCTCGGGTGGTCTGGTTTTGCTTGAGAACCCATCTAGCAGCTTGTTGTGGCTCACCGACCCATGCAAAGCCTGGATTCGTCACCACTGCCTGTCCGCCGTGGAAATTGCCGCTTGCACTTTTGGCGTGAATGCTAAAAAGAGCTGGACCTTTGTCTCAAACTTGGCGGACCTTTCCTCTCTGGCCTCTGCCTGTTGCCACCCGCCGGGCACTCACCCGCCCTTGGCAGGCAAGCGTGACTCGTCCGGTGCCTTCCTTACACGGACCACTGCCTGCTACCCGGACGGTCTCTGCGAGCGCTTTGCGGCACTGATGGCACCATATCTCTCCCGGTCAGTGGGCCTAGTCCCGTTCCTCTCCTGGGAAACGGCTCTTCTTGAGCCACAGCTCTGCTGGCCACTCCCCTCCTCCCGGATTGAAGATGGTGCAGGTTCGTGCTCCACTGCTTCCTGGTCCAAACCGTCCGGCCCCGACACCTTCGGCTCCCTGCGCAAACTCTGGGTTAAGCGCATCCTGTCGGGGGATTTCCTTGCCAAATTTCGCGCTCGTCTGGCATCCGGTTCCAAGGATGCCCCCATTTCTGAGTCCGAACTGGTACCTTTCTTGGGTGACTTGCGCTCCTTTCTGGGCTTGGCGGCTACTGACTTTGATACACTCCTTTCGGTCCCTCCGGGCCAACCGTTCCGCCTGTTCCTTCTGGATGCGCTGCTTCAACTCTCGCGCGACCCGGATCGACCCTTTGTGGACTTGCTGCTTGAAGGAGTTCCTCTGGGTGTTGACGAACCTATGCCTGCCTGCCCTACGCTGTTTCCTGCTTCCGCCACCAAGGACCCATCCATGGACTTACAGCATTGTTCCTCCTCCTGGGGATCAGCTCTTTCCGACCTGTCCACTGTTGACTCCCTCCTTCAAACCGAAGTTTCCGAAGGATGGGTGCGGGAGGTTCCGGGCGGTCTTGACAGCCTCGTCGCTACCTATGCTCGCACCGCCGTGGGGAAGCTTGGACTTGTTAAGGCCCCCGACCGTGACCCCCGCCTGGTGGTGGATTCCAGCGTTTCCGGCGTTACAGAACACACCACTCTTCCCAATAAGTCCGCGAACCCGACCATCTCGGGTCTCCGTCGCTGCTTTCCCCTCCGTCTGGCCCTGGAACAGCTCTTCGCACTGATCCTGGACGTCAGCAAAGCTCACCGGCGCATACTGATCCGGGCCGCCGATCAAGGCCTTCTTTGCTTCTTCCATCGCGGCCGCCTGTTCCAGTGTCTGACATTGAATTTCGGTGCACGCGCGTCCGGCTTTTACTGGGCACGTTTGGCGGGGATTCTGTCACGCCTCATGCATCGGCTTCTGTTCGTCCGCCACGCCCTGCTCATCTATGTCGACGACCTGATCTCCCTCCTTTCCGGTCCGTCCGCGCCGGTCTGGGCCGCTGTGCTGTGTGTTTTCCTTCTTGTGCTTCGTGTCCCAATGAGTTGGCACAAAGCCTATTTGGGCGCACGGCCGACTTGGATTGGTTGGTCTATGTCCCTGGAAACCTTTACCGCCACGCTTGAACCACCGAAGCTGGCCCGTCTCCGCCTTCTGATTTCTTCAGCCCGATCCGGGGAGGCGATTCCACTACACCTGCTTCGCAAACTCACCGGCAAACTCCTTTGGGTTTGTTCCCTGTTTCGTCCATTCCGGCCGTCCCTTGCACCGCTATATCGGGACCAAAGCCTACCTCCACTTGTTCATGTTGCTGTGGCCCCCTCTAAGTGGGAATCCTTCCGTGCAGCCCTGTCCAAAGACCTCGTGCTCACGAAATCTGTCAGTCTGGCTAGTTGCCCCCAGGGCTGCACCCTGGTCAGTGTGGCTTCCCGCCCTGTTCATACACTGAAGGATGTTCCTCTCCACTTTGCCGGTGAGCGACGACTCTGGATTTCCGTCCGCTCCCCTCCTGACTCTGACCGGAAACTTTCGCAGGAATCTAAAGCTGTCTTGGACCTTTGGCACTCCTGCCTGTGTCAGACCATCCCGCTCTTCCCGCTGTCTCTCGCGCCGCTGCTAACTTGCGAGGCGTTTGCTGACGCCTGTGCCGACAGCAAACAGGCGGGCTTGGGCGGCTTCGTGGCTTTTCCCTCCGGCCGCACGGTCTGGTTCCGATCCGCCTTATCCCCTGCGGATCTTGCTCGACTCTGTGCTTGGTATTCCCCTGACACTTCCCCTCAGAAATTCATCGCTGCCTGGGAACTCCTTGGCCAAATCGCGCTTCTCTGGTGCGTTGCTCTCGTTGTCCCGGCCGCTCACCACCCAGTACATTTCGTCAGCCGCTGTGACAACAGCCCTTCCGAATCGGCTTCCTGGAAAGGCCTCTCTACGGCCCGCGGTATGTGTGACCTATTGCATTCCTACCTGTTATGGCAGCGTCATTTCTGCATTTCCGCACATATCGATCATGTTCCGGGGTTCCGTAACAAGATTGCTGATGCCCTGAGCCGGTCCCGCGACCCGGGCACATTGGGACTCAATCCTGCCGATGAGACCCTGGTCCCTTGGCACCTGTTGAGCCGTCCTCCGCGCCCGTGTTACTCTCCTGCGGCCGCCTTCAACCGTGACCTCTTCCCGGCATTGGACTTCTGACTTTGGCTGTTTTCTCCCCGGTGCGGGTACTCCTTTGCCTGGACTTCGTTCTGGATCTTGGCTTCAGAAAACCGCAAAGTTCCTTTCGGCACCCGGCTCCGACGGTTTCCGTCCTGACCGGTGCCCGTACCGATCCGTAGCAGTCTTCTTTGGGGTTTGTGTCCGGCCCGAGGTCCCGGCACTTATCCAGACCGCTACGGGTTTCAGCCATCCGGAAAAAGGAGTCCGTCTGCATTTTTCCTGTGCATGCACACCGATCGTAACGGACTAGTGCCCTCCGAATAACGGTTTCTCGACGGGTCGTATTGTGTTAATCGGAGGGCTCGCAACGGCAAGTCGTAACTATACCGCAGCCGTTCGACTTAGGCGCATCCGTTCCGCATACCGACGGTGTGCTAGCCTTTTCTTTCCCGCCACCTTCCCCTTGGTCTCCGCCTTTGATTTAGGCCCTTCAATCCGCAGCTTACAGCCTGGATTTCTGGTGTGGGTTGGACTTTGCCCTTTCCTGCATGCCGTAGGCCGGCTTCAGAAAACCGCAAAGTCCCTTTCGGCACCCGGCTCCGACGGTTTCCGTCCTGACCGGTGCCCGTACCGATCCGTAGCAGTCTTCTTTGGGGTTTGTGTCCGGCCCGAGGTCCCGGCACTTATCCAGACCGCTACGGGTTTCAGCCATCCGGAAAAAGGAGTCCGTCTGCATTTTTCCTGTGCATGCACACCGATCGTAACGGACTAGTGCCCTCCGAATAACTGCCAAGTTAACATGAGACTCTCGCGAGGCGTGATTACAGAGTGTATTCGTGCGGCAAAGCCGAAGGGCTCATCATGGAGAAGGGGTCGACCGCTTCACAAGCGAGATCACGAACAAGCCAAAGGTGGGTCTCAGAGTAGCATGATGGCACATGGTGTCGTTTCTGGGGAAGGGCGTTTCGGCTTCAAGTTCCCAAGGTGTGTGGGAGCTTTTTCTGTGCGCAACGGATTTTTGGTACCGGGGCATACCTCGGATCGCAGCAGTCGGGCATGTGGATGCTTTAACCCATCTGCCGATCAGCAAGGCACCACCAGCAGCGGGAAAATTCGTGAATGGGGGGTCAGAAGGGACGGCCTAGACCTCTGTGGCAGACCCACGTGCCGAGGTAAGACGGGCACGCATGTCACTGGGCGCCTGCTGCAAGAAATCCAATCAAAAGCACTTGCTGGTGACCGAAGACTTTTTGGAATGAGCTGAACCAGCATAAGATAATTTGGCAACACGAGCGGCCCTTGCCAGAACAGCCAGTCAAAGTCAGAGCAGCCTGCCCCACAGCAATGTTACTAGGTAGCGGTGATAATCAGACACACCGAATGTGACCACCTCGCTAGATCACGAAATCGACAGCTGCTGCGTGCAAGGACGAGAGCATCAGAGAGGTAGACCCATGCAGGTGATTTCGGGGAGCAATAATATGTCCACCCGTCAACAAGGGTTTCGGTTTCAAACGGGGGAAGAAGCTCGAAATCCAACGTCAACATAGCCGCGGTTCGTTTCGGTGCAGTTTCCGTGAACCGAACCTAATCATTGTGCGGTTCGGTTCTTGTGGTTCCGACGGTTTACGATTTATTTACTACGCAAGTGACGGGTGGGTGTGCAAGGGTTCGGAAACACGAAAACGTGGACGAAGGGAGCCTGCTAGGGGTGCGAAAAGAGGGGGATCAAGGGGGCTATGAGGGTTGGGGTTTGAGAACGCGGAAGAATCTGCGCCCAGTTCTGGTGGAAAGAGGGGCACAGAACCGAAACACAGGTTTTTTTGCAGGCGGCGGCCTGGGAGGCACAGGTCGATGAAGGAACCTTTAATTTGGGTTCGGTTTCCGCGGTTCACAAAGGGTTCGGTTCCGGTTCTGCGCCGGTCAGACTGTATAGCAGCGTCATCTCCTGGCTGTGACAGCGCCAAAAGGAAAGGAATGCCATTTGCACGATGTTTTTCCTGGAACTTTCATCAGTGAATGAAGGAAATATCGCCATGCGGGTTTCCGGCACGAACCCTTGCGATGAAAGTCTATATTGGGGATCGGCCCTCGACATGGCCGCCTCCGTCACCTTCTCTTTGTGGGCTTTGCGTTTGTTTGCAAACGTTTGCGCTTCCTAGCGCGCAGCCATTAATCTCGTTGTAGAAGACATATGTGGACATGCTACATGCAAGGTTTAGCATCGGGGTGGGCCAGTCGCGTGTCTGGGTGTCTGCTCATGTTTGCTCGGTCAGATTCGCCGATGGGGACATAAATTGCGGCCAGAGGACCCAAAGATGCGGTGGCAACTCCTCTGCATTGTGACACAAATATGCTGTCACTGTCTGTACCATTGACTGCAGGACTCTGCTTCTCGTGGCTCGCGCCATCCACCGTCATCACCCGTTCAGAGGGCAGAGCAAAATCTGAGCCTGGAGTTGCTGGAGTCCCCGGCTCAGTCCATCGATGAAAGAGGGTAACGACAACGGAAGTGGTGCGAGGTACGAAGTACAAGTTGCCGAAGAGGTGGGGGTTGTCTCTGTCGGACTGCAGGGTGGTGACAGAAGTCTCTGCGTCAATTCGTGCGTGTTTAGCCGTCGACGGAGTGTATCAGCGAGAAGCGCTACGCATCGGCGTACGGAAGTGCTCGGTCATCCAGAATCTGTGCAGGACTCAGGAAATCTTTCGTCATTCCGACGTTGACATGCAGAGATCGAAAAGCGGTACCTCACATAAGAGTCCGGTTACAGCGAGACAAGCAATTAAGTATCGTAAAGGCAGAACAACGATTCGATCTGTGAAGAATTGCGACCCATCGAGTGAGAAGGCAGGAAGGACGCTAAGGTGGCTGGATTTGGCTGCCTTTGGAGCTCTGGGAGCAAAATTGATTCACGTCCTTTGGGTCTGAGGCTGAGTCAGGCAGCAATCAAGTATCGACTGCTTTTGGGCTTGGGTCGAAAGTAGCATGCTTTGGGTTTTTAATGCTTTTTACCAGCCAGCCAATCTCAATTGTTTTCGAAACCCTGTCGCTCCACGACATCCTGCATAGACGTGGAATGCCGTGCGGGCTTATCGTGACAAGTTGCTGTTCTTGCAGCAGTAACACCTTACCCTCAAGCCGCGCGTCCAGGTGCAGTCGAGAAAGACTGATGCATGCGTCCATTTCTATCGAACTGCCATTTCAAAGTCTTGCATTCGTTGTGCAGTGATTTGCCAAACAAGTGAAAGTGTTGTAAGAGATGCCTCCGAATACATCCACCTTCAAACTGTGTCATTACTTGCACCACCTTTGTCTGACCACCCGGACGATTGGTTGTTCGAGCCTGCGGACGCATCCAATCTGATATTGAACCGTGAACTTGAAGATCTACTGCCGACCGTCTTTTCCAGGCATGCACCCAACCCTTTCAGGTGCCTTTATGAGGACTATTTAGGACTCCTCGTCTGGCGACTGCAGTACTTTGGAATTGACTCGCGGCCACGCCACGTCAGGATCGTCAGGCATTCAACACACTTGCGAGTCCACGGTCGACTGGAGCACTCGCCAGGCACTTCTGGAGGATCTCTCTGCCCAGCTTGCTGCCCGCGAGAAACGGGTCGACGCCTCGGATGGCTGGGGGGTCCCCTGAGCCGATCAGGAGTATGAGCTCAGTCCAAAATACAAACAAGCCGCGAGTTGGAAACCCGGAATGTCGTTTGCTCAGCCGGTGCACCTAAAGGCATGCACAATAAACAGAGACCTTCGAAATTGTTGGAGCTACCCGTTAGAATGTTTGGAAACTAGCTGCATCTACTAGATCAACTTGAGCAACTGTGAACGAAACACGCTCATGTACCTAATGTTCAGAGAGATGTTGAAAAGCCATGGACTGCGAGATCAGTTCAAGGATGGCAGAGGCACTGTGTTTGAGCACTCGGCTCATAACTCTAACGCTCGATGCCGGATTTGGGGTGCCTCTTCTTGCTTCAGACCTGCACACAGTAAGTTGGCGTTGCTTGAAGATTTTTTAATGGTTGGACTGTACCTGTCGATACCATGTCAATCCTTTCGCTTTAGCTTGACCCAGCAGCGCCTCACTGAGGTAAATTAACTCGCATACTGGTGGCATCTGGTGGCACTGAAGCGTAACGGTATGCATATCGCCTTTCGTAAGTCGGAAACCGATCAAGTCAATTTGCAACAGCGCTCTCAACCCAGTCTGATGTTCGAGGTGTGGGCGCGAAACTCGACGAGCAAAGCACACTTTGTGCCAACAAAAGAAACCTTTCAGACGCAAACACGTTGGCACGGCTTCCACGTTTTCGTCGATGCAATCTGAAGCTACTGGCGTGTGTGATCTTGTCTGAAAGTGTCGCTTTAGGTCTGGAGTTCGGCTATGAAGAAGTTGCAGCCGTGTGGGTGGGTTTTGAAGGTGCTCTCTTTGCCTGTTTGTTGGATCTTGTTGGGCATGTCGATGTGAGAGTCGGCTGAGCAAGCAACAAGCGACTTCTGCGGGCCTGTTAACTGGAGGGCTGGTTGCTGCAAACTGGAAGAACGTCGAAACCCATGCAAAATCTGACCCTGGTAGTGAGGGCTGTGAGCCTCGAAGGCAAGGCAAGGAAAGGCTTCAAGTACGGGGAACGTAAGCAGTCTAGGCAGGTCACCTCACGCCAAGGCGGCCACAGCTTCACCGCAAGAGACAAACTTGTCGGATTTTGTGGTAATGCTGTAATGCTGCAATCTCGCTTTTCGTAGTAGACGTCGACATGTGTCGTGTGTGACCGATCCGACGATTACGGCCAAGCATTGCTCGTGCAACGGCCAGGCTTAACCAGTCAGCTCGTGGGAGGGCCCATCTGAGGTACAGTTTCTAGCGAGCAGATGGCTTCATCGCCTGGGGCTTGGCAGCGCTCTGTCGGGCTAGCTTACATGAGATGTGCCCAGGTCGGCTCGGCTCGCCTGAGTGCATCAGAAAGCAGGCTGCAAAAAGGAGCTTTCACCCACGGGTGCCTTCAGCAATAGCGATGGCATTGACAGACATTGGATGGACCCCGTGCACCGGTGTGACTGGAACATGATGGTGTTGCCACGCATATCATTTTCGGCTTACCCGCAAAGTTTACAGCCCGCCATTTTAACGGGAGTTTTGGGAGGCCAGCCGTGCAGGGCAGCGGGGATTTAGGAGCATGGCGCTTGTCCCAGACACTTCGGATCTCTTAAAAGATTCGAAAGGAAAGCTGTAGACCTGTAGGTTGTGGGCATCTTGTACCAAGGTCGATGCCGCCGAGGCCTTGACAGCCAGCATGACGCAGAAGCTACGACGATGCGAACGATTTCTCTGCAAAAGGGAAGATTCAACGCCTGTTGTTCGACCATGCTGCTCAATCTCTTTGGTCTTCACCAGAATAAGACAAGTAGCAAATGTGCTACACCACTGTGCCTTCTTCGATGCATCTTCTCATTTAGAGAATTTTTCACGAGAGACCGCTCCTGGTCTCAGTGGGGCGGGAGGGTAAAGCGAACTATGTAGCAATGCGGCATAGGTAGCTGCATGAGCAGCACACCGGAACAGGGCTCCAACAAGCAGCTAGGTTTGGTGGAGTGGCAATTGATTGCAACATATTGCACAGCAGCCGGTTGTCAAAAAGAGGGCTTATGGGGAGATGACATTGCTCGTCTGCAAAAGGGCTTCAAGTCAGACGAGGCGGTGTCTCCACTTTCGTTCACACGCTGAGATGCTCGTCGCTGCTGAAAGACTTCATCGTCTCCCTCGCTTTCCTGTGTCTTTGCGCAGCGGTTCCGGATTGATGCTTCGATCATTCCAGCTTTGTCCAGTCGCCCGGCTGCACCTCTGATTTTCGGAGTTCTTGCGGTTTTTTCGAATCTATCCATCCACACAAGGCTGATGCCACACGATTGAATGTTTCCACATTATCCATGGCCAGAAGCAGTCAGGCACCCATGTGGACGATCCCCATATCCCAGTTGTTTGCACATCTTGGATGACTCCCTTACAAAACAGCTACCACTGGGGATCCCTCCTTTCCGGTTTCTCGAGCAAGGTCGCTCGTGTCGGAAAAAAGTTACAGGAACCCAGTTCTGGCATTGTTTCTGTATCAGCTCTTTAAGTTTCATTCGGCACAGAGCCTCAATGCCGGCAATCGCAAAGAGATCGAATCATGTCTTGGATTTGCTTGAGACTCCCTCTTTGGCTTCCTCTGTCTTCGAGAATCCGTCTGGACGCCCTGCCTCTGTCGAGACCAAGGTCCGTTGGCCAAGTACCCTGAGGCGAGACTCCCCCCAGACTCCAGAGCAGAAAGTTTGTGTGCGGGAGCTCGATTGAATCCACATTTAATCCGACCTGGATGGCTCCATCGTTCGTGCGCCGCAAGCACCTAGCGGGGACATGGACGATGCTGGAACGAACGTGAGGGCCGCCGCATACCGAGGTCGGCCCTCGGTGGTGGGTGCTGTGGTGCTGACCCTGACTTTTGCTGACAAAGGCGACTGGAGGTTGATGTTCAGAAAAGGAATTCGGGTCGGGGTGACAGCGAAGAGACTGTGGAGGTCGGACGCGAGATGGCCTCGATTCCTGGACCGTCAGGAACCGTTTCGAGCGGGTCAACGTCGCTTCGGACAGCGTCGCATCCGACCGCGAGTCGGCTCTTGAAGTCCGCTCTTCGCAAAGCATAAGGACCTTGGGTCCTTGGTGTTGTGCAATCATCTGCGGGCGCCCCACGGTCTTTGTCTTTGCGACGTCCCGCACTTCAGACTTCAGCTTTTGCAATCAAATCGGGCCTCGTGGAGGAAAGATTGTCATCGTTTTCGGCTTACGCGAATTTTGGCGGCCACTGCCAGCATTGACTCGCGCAAGGCTTCACAAGGTACTGCAGTCCGGCCAAGGTCTCCGACGGTGGGGCTTAGCTCCTTTCATCACCGCGGGCAGTCGTCCCGCATGCTTGCTCGCTCCCTGACCGGCAGATGCTACCGTAGCTCCCAGCCACTTGTCAGATTCAGCCTCTCAGTGATGACCGAGCGAGGGCATGCCCTTGGGCAGTATTCACTCCAAGCCGCCCACTTTAATTTTAACGCTACGCCGCCCGCCTCGGCTGTGTAGCGGCAGGCTTTACACGGTTGTTGATACCAAGTGCAACGGGGGCAAGGGGGGGTGGGGGGCGGGCGAGGGGGGGGAAGGGGGGGAGGGGGGGGGTGAAACCATAAACCTCTAAAGGGGTAGCTCTAACAGGTACCTACAGCAATGGCTGCATGCTCATACATATACATTCCGCTGCCCATTGGCTCACAGTGGTTTTACCATATTGAGACAAGACAAGCTCTCCTTGCGTAGCAAGACAAAACAACTACTGTCCGTGTGCAGGGCGCTGCCCTTTGATCCTTAGGGAATAACTGGTCATACACCTCCTCACAAGGAGTATTCCTTGGGGGTGTATCGGCACAGTTTTCTGGTAGCGGAGCCCGGAAAGGGCCGCCCGCCTCACAAAGTCCGCTACAGCGGTCGGCCTCGCCGAACGCTTAACCAAGCGGATAAGAGGCAGCACAATGTCGAGCTCGCATAGCGAAGCCGACGGCAGTTCCCAATCCTCCGGGGGATATGAGAACGAAGAGACCTCCCAAGGTCCAGCTACTTATGTCGCACAGTCATATGCAACATCTGACCGCATGCTTGCATCATTAGGCATAACGCCCAAGATCGCGCCTGCCT